TGGTTACTGAGGTGACACACCCACTAATTATTTGAAGTGGATAGAGTCCTTTCATTTCTTCTATTACATTATTAAAACTTATCGAGTTAGTTAGATCAGAAACTGCCTCTGATACTTCTTGTAAACTAGCATAATTTGACTAAAATTTTTTTAAAAATTATTTAAAACTCCATTCCTTGCCTTATTATCATCAAAATGACTCCAAAATTGAGGCAATAGCTTATCTTGTAGTGATACTTTTAAATGTTCTGAATAAAAGTTAATCTACTTAGAAATAAGTAATAAAATTACCTTTTAAAAACTCTACACTGAGTGCCTCCATTTTGACACGTGGTTATAGTATACTAATTTGTAAACAGGTTCTACTGATCCGTAAATTTTGAGGGGGTGTTAAAACCTTGGGTGGGGCTGCGTCATTTATTTTTCAATACTACAAAAAAGAAAACAACGCAGGAACTCTTATGTCAGATTCAGTGAGTTGTTTATTGTCAGTAATAGTGAGATTATTCACTTTCTCAAAGGTAATAATGGCAGAAAACACAAGTCCAGGTATCACTATGACTTGTGAGATATGTTCAGAGTATTACACTGACCCCCTCATGCTTCCCTGTCTTCACTCATTCTGTAAGAAGTGTCTAATAAAAGCTAAAGAGAAGCAAGGTAGTGCTGATACCTCATTAAAGTGTCCAACGTGTGACATTAGCGTTAATTTACCTGACGGTAAAATTGAAGGCCTGACTCAAAACCTTTGGTTTGAACATAAATCAAAAGAGGCTTCAATCAAAAAGAAGATCGTTAGCAAGGAAGCAGTATTGTGTGATAAATGTGATGATTCCAGTGATGCAGCTGTTGTGTATTGCTGTGATTGTGGCCAGTTTCTGTGTGATCATTGTAAGAAAGGTCATAAGCGAAACAAGAAAGAAGCCAATCACGAGTTGGTTGATCTAGGCAGGGAAGAATCTTTTGAATTGCCTGCGATTAAGCATGATGAAAAATGCTGCCCACGACATCCAAAAGCAGAGCTATTATTCTACTGCTATGATTGTGAAGTAATGACCTGCCTCAATTGCCTGCCTACTAAGCACAAGGATCATGCTTATGAAGATTGCATTGACGTAGGAGTAACAGCACGTAAAGCATTAAAGGAAAGTGTTGCTAGTTGTGATGGAGTCATTCCTCCAGTCACTGAAGCTATTGCTAATGGAGAGAAGATGCTAGAGCAGATAGCAACACATAAAGAAGAAGTAAGGCAGGAAATCAAGGAAACGTTTGAAGAGCTTAAAGCTGCTTTAGATAAGAGATGCAATGATCTACTAATGGAGACAGAAGAGATTGCTAGCGCTAAGAGGAATTCTGTTGAGAAACAGTTGGATGGGTTATGTAAACTGGTAAAACAGGTTTCTCATGGTCGTCATCTTGCATCATCAGTGAGTGAGCGTACTGATCCAGGTGAAATTCTGAGTGTTAAGAAGCTAATCACCAATCAACTAGAGGAATGCATTGAAGAGTATAAGAAACTACCTCTAGAAATAGAAGAAAATGAAGTGATTGTAGCACGCCTAGATACATCTACTTTAAGTAAAGAAATCAATGAGTTTGGAAATATTATTGTAGATATAGATGCATACTCCATTGATAGTGGGTTAGCTATTCCATTGGCAACAGTAAAAAAAGAAAGGAAATTCAAAGTGTCTCTACCAGCAGGCATTGATAAAGCAGCAAACTATTTAAAGGGTTCCTTTATCAAAAGTGATGGTAGTAAAGAGGAGGGTAGAGTTGCTAAAATTAATAACAACACAGCCATTGTATCATGCACACCTCAAAGTACTGGTGGATATGAACTATCAGTGACTATAAGAGGTCACCATATTAAAGGTAGTCCTTATCAACTGTCAGTAAAAGCATCAAGAGACTATACCACACTAACTAACCAGAGATCCTTTAATGTGGGGAGCGGTACTTATGGTGTTGCTGTTCATACTAATGGTGAAGTATTTGCTAGTAGTCATAATGGTGAGTTTGAGTTTGTTCAGGTATTTAGTGAGGATGGTACTGCAGTAAGAAGGATTGGATCTAAAGGTAATGGTAATGGACAGTTTGATTGGCCTTGGAGTTTATTGCTGGTAGGAGACAGGCTCTATGTGTCTGATAATTTTCTCCATCGTGTGCAGTATTTCTCAGCTACTACTGGTCAGTATATTGGTCAGTTTGGTAGTAATGGTAATGAAAATGGACAATTTTATCATCCTCGTGGTATGTCCACTGATGGTAAAGGTAATATATTAGTAGCTGATTACAACAACAGTAGAGTACAAGTGTTTAAAGAAGATGGTACATTTGTACAAGTCATACAATGTGATGGTAATGCATCTGATGTAGCAGTTGATAATGAAGGAAAGATACACATTACCATTCGTAGTCAACATCATGTTCAAGTCTTCTCTCCTGATAGTAAAACTCATCTTGATACATATAATAATCCAGCTGGTAACTTTAATAATCTTAATGGTATTGCTATTGATGATGAAGGATATATCTTTGTATCAAGTTACAATGGCTATCTTCATGTATTGAGTCCTGACAGGAAACAAGTCAAATTAATCTCAGGATTATCTTCTCTATGGGGTTTAGCACTAGATAAGGATGGATATATTTATGTTGCTGAATCTGGCAACAATCGTATAATGAAATATTAAAGTAGTCGTTTAATAAAACTGCAATAAACTAGATACACTAGAAAATAGTCTTGTCACTCTATCTCTTTTCCCTTCCATCTCTCACACACACAATTCTCTCCCTCCCCCTTTCTCCCTCCTCTTTAATTATTATTGTTATTAATAGATTAATTTGATTCAAAATTTTGAAAATAAAGAAAAAGTAGAAAATCTCAAAATATCATCATCATCATTATATACTAGTACATACACATGTTCCTAGTGTACACTATAATACATTATACATATGTTTTATACATCATAGTTAGATCACTAGGTGAATCAGTACCTGATAATAAACTGGGTCTACTCTCTCTTCCATTTCTATTTGAATTTAAACTAGTTGTTTCTAAATAATCACGTAAATATGCAACTGCTAATGGCTGACGTCTTGACACAAAATTAACCAGTGTTGCTGGTACTCCTCCCATATCAACCTAATCAATGTACGTCATGTTTGACTCCACCCACAACCACACCCACCTGCACAAGATACGTGA